ACACAGAAGATCTTCAATGAAACCGCAGTGATAAATGAAAGGTCCTTTTTTCCCTCTGGTACTTCCTAAATCAAACAGAATTAGAAATATTTCTAGTAATGTACTAATTTTCCAAGGTAGTGTCGTGTTTTAAAGAATTAGATTCTAATCATATACATTAAAGATACCTCATAATTACCTTAAATAGTGTAGCTGTTTCTGGGATTATTCCTCTAATTTTCACCTGGGGTTCTAAAGGCAAAGGGATGAGTTCCACATCTGACAAATTCATCTTTTCGTTATCTCCAAGTAATGCCTGTAATCTCTCATTCTAGGAAAATGAATTAGAAGGAATTAATTTGGTTAAAAAAAGCAGTTCATAAAACATAAAGATAGAAAAACTGATATTAAGATTTTTGCAGAGCATTATAAAATATATGAAGACTTACATAAAGCAGATAGTACATATGTGAGAGAGAAAAACACTTATAAATAATCCATGTAACAAAAGCAGCAGCATGTTTTTATTTTTCTTTTTGGAGGTAGGAGTGGGAGGGTGGCTATAACTGAGCTTTATCCTAGCCTTAGCAGTATCCTTTAAAAGAGTAGTCCCTGGGGGCTGGGGTTGTGGCTCAGTGGTAGAGCACTCGCCTAGCATGTGCAAGGCATGCTGGGTTCAATCCTCAGCACTACATAAAAATAAATAAATAAAATAAAGGTATTATGTCCAACTACAATAAAAAAATGTTAAAAAATAAAAGACTAGTCTCAAGAATACATTTAATTTGCCTCAAGCTGGATTTAAAAGATTTGACTTCTATTTCCAAAGGATTTATGAAGCCAGAGAAAACCTAAATTTTATAATTTTATTTGAAATTTAATTTTGCATGACTAAATATTAACTGAAATTTTCATTATAATGCCCCAATGCATTTTTTGAATATAAGAAAGAAATTTTAACTTGGAACTTGATCTGTCCCTACCTTCTACCTTTTACTGAAGGTAATCTAACTTTTTTTAAGATATCATCATCATTCAGTTTCTTCAGTTCATATGCAAATTGAACTGAGCCAGGCTCTCAGAAACTGAGAAATAAAGTCATGGTAAAACAGCTTTCACATTGTTAAAAGCCCTTTTATTCAGTTTTTAAGAAATAATCTATCCTTTGAAAAGCTGAGAGAGTCTTGCATTCTTTAAACAGATGAGCTTGTACTTTAAAGAGGAAAACTTAACTTGCCAATCCCACTGACACAAAG